AAAGCTGGGATGGGGAAGAGAGATGAGTGGAGGAGAGGATATGAAGAGCATGCCTTATTTATTTCATCCCAACCAACAGCAGCAAGATAGAATGTAGACTAGAGAGGGGATCACAGCATGGTATACCAAAAGAAAATGCAAAACATACTAACCCAAAGAAAAACCGAGAAACAAATACATTTGGTAATGTCTTCATAAATGAGCTTAATAAATGTCATTAAAATGAATGTGACATATAGTACAAACTATCCATAGCATTTTCACTGGAACAGTACAATAGCCTTAATGAATACTGTATTATGAATAACTGGGCTCAAAACAGAACTAGCAATGCAAAAAATCAGGTATTTGGTTGTTAATGGAAGGTGAGACTACAAGAGAACATGAACTACTGTATTGTAAGACGTGTTTTGAAGTAAGACTCTGGGGAGAGGACATCAATGAAGGTGTGAATATGGAGACAATATGGCAGCACAGGGGCTGGTAAAGACGAAATATACATCGTCATGATACAGTACAAATGAAAAAAGAGGAGGGGAGATGTTAACAGTAATGTCTGCTTTTCAAATTAGACAATTTGATACACCAATGACTCCACAAGGGGAAAAAAAAATAGCCTAAAAATCTTATACTGTTTTATTCTGTACTTCCTGCAAAGAAGTTAGTGCGTGAATCACAAGAACCAATGGAGAGACAAAATGCTATTCTCTCTCGTCTTTGAGATTGGGGGCTCATATATAAATATACACACAGATATAGATATATATATATACACACACACACATAGACAGATTAATATATATATATGTATATATGTGTGTGTATATACAGAGAAAGATAGACAAAGATGTTATCTTCCTGTGTTCTTGGCAAGGAATTAGTCCTGAAGTTAGAAGGAGTGGAGGTAGGATTGAGGTTGGAAGGAAAGGTAACGAAGAGGGCATACCGCTTTCGGCTTCTGCAAACGACAAGAAAAAAATTGCAAATCAAACACTTTGATAAGAAATCAACTGACACCAAAGCAAAAGCAAAAAAACCCTTTATTTAAAAGTCTTCAAGGTTCAAAGGTTTTTCTGCTGAGAATGAGAACAAATATATGGATAGACAAGTAGAAAATTTAACAAGAGGAGTAAACATGGGGTGCAGGAGGGAAGAATCCTGGTTAGGCTTTCCTTCTTGCTTACTCATGTGAAAAAAAGAAAAAAAATACAGGGGAAAAGGAAGGTAAAATTATCTCTAAAAGAGATTTCAGATGAGAAGTTCAAATGTCTGCATTTTTGAACTGCTATTTTTTGCTATCTATTCAGCAAGCTCTACTGGGACATCTTCAGGCTGATGTTCTCCATGTCCGTTTAGCATTTTTTCTACAGAAGAAACAAAAGCTCCCTACAAATGAACTAAGAAAAAACATTTTTAAAGCTAAAGTATTTGGCTTGCATCAGGGACACAAAAACTTATTTAAAAAGTGTTTCCTGCTCTTAATAACTGATTATAATATTCCCAGATACTAATTAGAGATGAAGGAATGGCTAACTTGTATTCTGACCTGGAACTATTAAAGTGCAGGACTTAGTAGTTGGTCAGAAACCCACTAAATTCAGACACATTTTGTAAACTCAGAGGTTTCTTTAATAACAGAGCAGTAATTTAAACATCATTAAATAAATAAATGTAAAGAAAAAAATATTCTAATCATGGCTATTTTAATTAATCTTTAAGACACTTTGATATTTCAATTAATCTTTAAAATACCTTGATGAGTTGCCTAAGATAAATATACTATAGACACTTTATCCATTATTTGAAAACAAGTTTGCATTTATCATATCTATGACTACAACCTACATTTAGGCTTGAAAACTTTTAAATTCTGCTTTTAAGCGAACTTGTAAAATCATATATTGTTTATAATTAACAATCTAATACTGTCAAAACTTGTTATCAAGGTGTGCTTATTGGGTTTTTTAGCTTTATTAGGAGTCAAGAAAAAAGGAGAAAAAAAACCAAAATTGCATGTAGGAAGCTCAGATACTGTTAACTTGTACATTAATACTAGCTTGGATAGAGTTCTGATGATTTATAATTACTATTTATCTCAAATTTCCTATGGTAGAGTTAACAGAATTTGATTGTATATCAGAAAGCTTTAGAAAACTAGCATCTGTGAGACTGCAAGGAAAATAATAAAAGTGCATAGGTAAATGACTATTTATGCCATTCTACATGTAAGGAAGACATTAACAAAATCAATGAAAATTCTGCCATAAACTAATCTTAAAAGGAAACTCTCTGTGAAGTAAAAAAATCAGATATATCATTTTCTTATACAGATATTCTATTATGACTAATTAACAAAAATTAAACTGATGGAAATAAGATCTTCTCATCCCTTAGGCAGAAAGAATGGTTTGAAAATTTCCTCTGCTCCTGAAAGTATCAGTCCTAGACTTGTCTCAGCTATATAGCTAATACTAGCTCTTAATAAAAGGTATCACCTAATTAATATTCTAAGTTTTTATTTACATTTATCATTGTTGCTCTAAATTATAAACTATGTAAAGCCTCTCAATAGTTTTACAAAATATGATTCTAAACTATAATCATAAAATAAATCAGCACAGATCTACTCTTGTTCACTCTCATAACAAGTGAAAGCTGAAAGGGTATGATAATCAGTTTCCCCTTCACCTTCATGAAGAATTACCAATGAAGGACTGAAGTTATGAAGTAAAACAAAATATTTCCGAAGTCAACATGAACAAACATAATTGACAAATGATAAACTTATCTTGTTCAAAAACAGTGTGCACTTGTAAACCATGTTATTCTAATTTTTATTTTAATTCACTATCTTTTCATTTAATAAGATGCAAGGAAATGCAAGTATGCCTAAGAAGTGAGAAACTGAAGTTTTGTTCCATTACCTTTCCGGTTAGACTGAAAGTCTCCAGCTCAGAAAACCACAAATATATACTTAATGTATTTGGGTTGAAGAGCACAGGAACAAGTAGAACAATAAAGATAAGCTGCAGGTAGCTGCGTGATTCACTGAACAGTGACTATAAAATTATCACTGGTTAATAAAGTCAGCAGTTATTGCTGTGGATCAGGTTTATGAGAAAATGTGAGTATCTAGCTTACATTATCTCCTCTTGTAACATATGTATTCACAAAATCCGGCTGTTAACATCCCCTTGTTAGTATTGTTCTCTGCAATTTTTAGACTCTTTTTTTTTTTTTTTTTTTTTCCTACCAAATTAATTAATTGTGAACTGTTACCTGAATGGCTTTAAGTAAGAAGGAATGTATGACTCTATCAATCACATTGTGTTACTTTTTGTGAGATCCTCTGCATCACCTTGTGATTAAGAACTCAATCCAACTCCCACTGAAGTTAGTGCAAAGAATGATATGGAAGGCATCAATTATCTGTTATTACTGAAAAAGACTGTAATATTAGCACTTACATAAGTAAAAGACAACTGAAGTAATGACAACCTAAAGTTGTGCAATAATTCTTCGGAGAACCAACAGAAACCAAATATTTTCTAATACTGGAAATACAAAATCTGGTAAATAGTTCCACTGCTGTTACTATCATATTTTTCTTTTTTTCGAGGAAGAGATGAAACTGTTCAGACACAAAAGAATAATAAATAATTTGCTTTACATTATCTAATGTGGAATGAGATCATTCAATGGAAAAGTGATTAAAGAGCCCAGAGGAGTTGGAACGATTGAAAAAAAAATCTGATATTTTAAAAAAAAAAAAAAAGGATTTCTTAATCAGCATAGTAGTGTGGACAAAAGTAATATCCAATAACACGTGTACCACTTCAGGTATCACTTTATAACATAGAAAAGAATCAAGTAAAACCAACCATAGGGCATGAAAATACTCTTATAAACAGTTGTAACACTGCATTTTCTGTGTCAAATGACCCACATAGATTTTACTGATACTTTTCATAAAGAAAAATTACAACATTTAATAATAAACATTAAAATAAACTTTCAAAACATCAGAAATTGTGGCATGAGCTCTAATGACAGAACTGGTTCACCTGTGAGGAGAAACAGTTGCCCTCAATAGTTTTAGGTAATTAGTGGCCAAAAATAAGATGAACTAATATGTATCGTTCCAGATTTACTAAGGTAGTACAGAATATAATTTTTGACAGAGGAAAATAAAATTCACCTCATAGTCAGTATTGTCATATATTTATTATATGACCCTCCACATGTTGCAGAGTACATTTACAGCAAAAGTGAATGTTTTGTAAAGCACTGATAAACAAGTTGATAAAAGATTGAGTCCAATGTCACTCAAATTTTTATGAATTTTTGTACAAAAAACCCCCAACGCTTGTTTATCTGTCTGTGAATCTGTACCACTAATAATGAATTTTATCGTTTTCGGTTGAGGAAAGGTGTCAACCAGTTGGTAATTTCAAGGGTAAATTAATCTTTTCCAGTTTCATGATGTTATTCGTTTATGCAAGATTTGTCAGAATAGATACCATATAAATACTACATTTATCTTATATTTCTCTTTATCCTGTATCCTAAATTGGTCCTTCCAAACTCATTTAAATGAAATTATTATTTTGAGAATACACATAGTATATAATGAGTTTTGATATCACATCTGTTTTCCATTTTCCCTTTTTCAGTAAAATAAGTTGCACCTCCAATTAAAACTGATAGACTATGAACAAAAAAAAAAGCTTTTGTTTAATCAAAAATTAATTGTATCACATATGTATCATTGTCCCCCCATCTACTAAGTGTTCTGACTTGAAATAATCTTAGGGAAAAAGAACAGGGCAGAAATAAAAGCCTTTTAGTGCTATGTGGAATGGTGTAATGTGATGACATGCTAATTATACTCTGAAAAGTTTCAAAAGTATGAGAGTAGCTATGTTCATTCTGAAAGAAAAGCAGGCAACATTCTTGACAGTGCATTCTAGAACTTAAAAATTTGTAGGCATTGGACATACCTGCTTTCTCGTTTTTCCGACTTGTATTCTATGGCTATCATTAAGAGCTTTAGTTTCGCAAACACCAGTCTGCAGGAAAAGAAGAGTCCAAGAGTCAGTCCTTTTTCATAACCAGTATCACATATGTAGAGATGGCTGTGGTGTATGTATTTCCTTTGAGAACTTACAGTAAGATCTTTTCCCAAATTTTCAGTTAGGTATATATGGAACATATATTAAGGTCTTTCTATTTTGAACATAATGAACACATATTTTCCCATAAATATAAACTGACAAGCTGAGAACAGTAGCATAAGCACCAACTTCCTATGTTAGTAAGTCTACGTAAGCAATAATAACAAAGGTCATGATACACAACATAAAATTTCACTTGGCTATAGTTGTGGATGTGTTGAGGAAATTTTTCAAATTGTTGCTGGAACACAGCCATACATTGATTGTAGTGTTCATTCCTTAGAAAAATATGTATGTACTGAACAAAAAGGAGAGTACCCTATTAATAATAGGGTTAATTTTTGTCAACTGCTGTCACAGAGGAACAGCATGACTGGAAGCCATTTCTGACCCATACATAGGAAGTACATTCTGATACTGTAAGACACTTCAAAAATAACTAGAAACCATTTTCTAATTTTGTCACTCAAGTGTATGCAAATTCAACTCTACTTGCTTCCTGTTCTACAATTTGACAGAAATTGTTCTAGGGCTCACCTTTCAATTAGATGGCTGTCATCTTCTATATCATACACTAACTTTTCCAGTGCTCAATATTTCTCTACAAACTTCCTTACCTCAGTGCTATTAATATTTCTGCATATATTTCAATATTTATTTTTCTTTAAGCAAATTAAGCAATATTCTTCACACTTCACATCAGTCACATACTTAGCAGAAAACAAGGAGTTGGCTGCTGAACTGATAATATATCATTTCTATTAAAAGTTCAAAAAATCACTGTGAACAGTTAATATCTGCTAATTCTTCAGGATAAGAGAAATAACCACTGATGTAGGGATTCTGACAATGCTGAGGCAATGTGCTGCATATCACATGAGGATATATACAATAAAATTCAATTTTCATTGTTTAAGTTTTGTAATATAAAACGATCATAATTTTTCTACAAAAATTTTTCTTTTACAGGACTGTAGAAGTACTGTTGTAGTCTCCTTGTCTAGGAAAGCAGGTGATATCTCAGTATTGGGAAGTAACACAAAAAGAAAGATAGAGGCAATATTCACTTAACTTTTTTTCAAAAGCAATTAAAAGTCTTATTCTACCACCAGAACTCCAGCCAATGTCAGATACGGACAGACAAAATCCTGATCATTACTGAAGACTTGATGAGCCCATCATCTCCTACAATATCAACAGGTAAATGAAGCCTCACTATCAGTGTCAAAAGGATTAATAAGGCTTACCATTTAAACTGTATTGTGCAAATATTATTTGATGTGATTAAAATGAGGAAGATCTTATACCTGCTTTTTTTCCCCAGATACATAAAGAAGTTTGTAATAAGAAATTATAACACTTTCTATCTCAAATTACTATGTAGAAGTTCACAAGAATTGTCAATGACAGTACATGAGGCATTAATTTCTACTTTATTTTCAACTGCCAAAAGCATCTGCTAACTACTGATGAACACAGATGGTCATGAACAAAGGCTCTTAAGAATCTGAATCTGACTGTTTCTATCTACCCAGAAAGGAATAAATGGTTTTTGCCATTAAATCTTCATTCTTTACTGGTAAGACTATCATTGGCATAAATTAACTATAGATACCTGTGGTATTATTTGTATATGAAAGTACTGGGATATTTAGAATTTAAAGAAATTATCATTCTCTGTTCTGAGCAGTAAAACATGAAGATACAACCTTAATTAGTTATTAAATATTTATTTTTCTACCAAACATTAATGAAAGAATATTAATTAGAAAATCTAGTGGAAAGAAGTTTTTTCTTTTCAGAGAAATTTTTTGACTGGAATCTTGTACTCCATAAATAATTAATTTTTTTTCCTCAAGGTCAGTAAGAACTTTTTTTCTTAACTACTTTTGACAAAGGAATAAATACTCTCCTCAGGAAAGAAAAAATATTTTCAACTACTTCCATGCCTTTGTTCAGGTGCAGTTAGCAAAAGTATTTTGATATAGGATAAATCATGTTGCTATTCACCTAATTAAAAATACATGGAAAAATATCATTCCCAATAAAAAAGTAGTATGTTACAGTAGCATCTTAAGATGCTTGAGAAAGTTACTTATAATATCAGAATTCTTTCATAAATATATGATTTTTGTCTTGTTTTCAAACTATTTTTTATGCACATTGGCAACTAGTGGTTTCTTTGGTGCTTGCTAATACACTGTGTTTCTTAGAAGCTGAAAGTATGAGTGTATCAGGTACTTCACTTTTATGGGACAGCAGTGTCCAAAACCAGCATAGACTATGAGGTTTGTATGTTGGAACAGAAATTATCATAATATAAAGATACATAATAATCAAAACATCTCTTTTAAAGGTTTGCTAATGTCAGGTTTAGCTAATTTCCAATCACATGAAACTGGCATAAGCATGGGACCTTCTGCTTTCAATCTACAGCTGGGTTCTTCCAGATGCTGAGCACTCATGTATTGCTCAGGCAAGGAAAAAAATTAAGCAACTACTCCAATAGCAGAATTTAACAGAAGTATTAAAAAATGTAAAAGTAAGCACTGGTATAAGTGGTTCTCTGTAAAACTCTGTAAACTAAGTTTGTTAGCATGATTTTTGGGGGTCTTGTTAAAGAATTTGAGATGTATTTTACACATCTTACTAGATCATTATATGTACTTCTACTATTCCATCAGAATTGCTGGATCTTAAGTATGCTACAGAAGGACAGATTATAATAGAAGTTAGAAGAGGAATCAGAAATTATAGAGCTGCTAAGAAATAGAAAGCCACTGGACAAAATCTATCACATACATAATACAGAACACACTGGTGGTATTGCTACCAGTACTGGAAAATTTGCTCAAAGAGTACTTAACTACTATTACAATTATTTCCACTTAAAAGACCATTTACCTTACATGACTGTTGACTTATTATTTACACCTTAGAAACCCAGTAAAAATTTAGAGCTTTCTGTGAAACGATAAGAAGCTCTAACAGGCCAGCTCAAAAATATGGAAGAATTAAAAAAATACAGCTGTGTCATGTGTATGTGTAATTATGCAAATGTTTCAAGATCTGTGATTGCTATGTATCTTACACGGATGTGGAACAGAAGTAACTCCGCTAAAATCATGGAATCATTAACTTAATGAACAGTGAACAATGCCAGTGAGAAGTTTACTCTACTAGAGAGGATTTAGTTAAGCAGGCAGTTCCATGTCAGATTAGAATTTTAACCATAATCTCAGCTGTGAAGAGACACAGAGATACTACATATTCAAGGTATGTTTCCTGGTCTAATCCCATCTGACCAATAAAATGAAATACAATTAAATTTTATATTTTGCAAGTTATGAATCACTGGCTACAAAACAATACTCATTGCCAGGTTCAGCGCATGAAAAACACTTTTCATTCTTACTGCCAAAACACTGAAGAATGCACCTTTTAGTTTCTTTAGACAGAATCAGGACACAACAGATGTATCGAAGAGAGATTTGAAACTGATGAAGAGTACTACATTCAAACAATGCCTGAAGAACCTGCATGACAACACTTTAAATGTGCTTTAGCAATTCAATAAACATTTCCCTGATATATCTGAATATAATATAGAAGTTTTGATCTTTTTTCTTTTGCTTTGTTAAATCAAGATATGAGCCTATTTTATCCTCGAAGGCTCATCATGGGGAGTATGTGGAAAAGGTTCTTGCCCCCTAGCCTTTAAATGGTCTTCTGGTTGAAGGTTACAATAGACTAGCTTTCTATCTCCAACAGGGTAACAGATGGGGGAGGGGAGGAAGCTATCAGCACTGTCATGTGCAGAAGCTGAGCATTTGGTATGGGTCTTTTAAACACCTATTCTATAGACCTAACAAAGTTTTTTAGCAATAATTTTGTTGAATATCACTTATGTATGGCTGCGAACAAGGCCTTTTTATTTTCCCGTTAGATGATCAAGAACTTCTGGGGTAATCCAAAGACCAAAAGAAAATTCTATTGAATTTTATAAGATTGAGTTGTAAACAATCAACATAAGTTAAAATAATAAAAAGCATACTGAAGTAGCCAAGGTTTGCATAAATCAATCAAAAAAGACAAAGTACTCTTTATATCTAGAACAGTGGAAAAAAGACCTCCAAGACTGGAACACTACCAGGATAATGTGAAATTAATAGTAGCAGGAAAAGTAGACATCCAGAGGAAGTACAGAATACCAAGTGTACATTTTAATACAAAAGCATATAGAGAATACAGGTGAACCTTGACAAAGATCAGGTTCTTTTCCGGTGGGTTTGATTCATTATAGAAATAATATAATAGAGTGTGTGTGGAGTGACTTATGTCACTCATGGTAACAATGACATACATCACTCATAACGACATACATTACTGTCTATATACACATACCTACACACAGAAGCACTTCATACAAATTAATTATTTGTACCAGTTCCAGTCAGTGGCTGCTGACAAGACCAAGAGCAGGTGAGCAAATAAATTTGCTGCTCACTCTACTGGATACTACTACCATTACTAGGATGGTAGAGAGAACATGAGCTGAATATTTAAGGTTTTGGTTGCTGACCTGTCAGTCTGTTATGAAAACCCTGAAGATAAATGTCAATACAGAACTCTACATTGCTTTTTCTCTGTATTTCCCACAACAAATATTATCTCGGTTTACGATGATGGTTCCTGATTTGAAATGCAATGGAAATGCTGTGAAGTGTTGTGGAATACATCCTACTCCAATCCACACTAAGCTAAGGAGTTTCATAAATATTCGTCTTTCACTACTTTTGTCAACTCTTATCTTGCTAAACAAAACTATCATTCCTCTGCTCTTTCTGGCTCCCTTTAAAGCTTATCACATTGGAATAAGAAAACTAAATAAGGATATTGTTCCTATAAGAGCTCTACTGAAGGTTTTAAGCACAAAGACACTGAGCTTGCTTTATAAAAGTTCGTATTGCTAATTTTGTAGGTATAAACAGGAAACACACCTGCTACATATAGAGTTTTGAATTAATAAACCAAAATTTGTTCACTAATTACTAACCCACTAATTACTGATTGTACCAAGTGTAGTAAAATACAGGTTATCCAAAACCACTGTGTAAGCACTGGTAATAGTAACATAGGCCTCAATACTTTAAACATATTAAAGAAGAATGAACTGTGGGAAGCTGTAAGGCCTCTGTGCTGATCTATGGATACTTTTCTATTGAAGCAGCCTTTTCTTACTTATGAAATTAGGGAGCACAGTGGGACCTTACAACATCTGTTTACATGTGTTGGCCCTTGCTATCACACAGGTGTGCCTCAGGAGACTACCACATACTCATTGGCTGGATAGAGGCAGGGGAGGTGTCCAAACTTTTGCCAGAGGGACCCAGAGGAGAGTTTTTGAGAGCACTTGGAGGAAAGCGTAAAATATAGGAGACATCTCTGCCAGAATCAAATAGTCTGATTTTAATTACAGTCAGAAGATAAAAAGTTTAATTTAGAGTCATGTCAATCTAGAGGCTGTCTTGTGGCCCGGCCACTACCTAAGCTGATCTTAGGTTTATTGAGTTTAATATTTGACACACATCTGCAATGTTGAATAAAATCCTGGGTTCAGGAAAAAGCTCCTAATTTAACAGGAATGGACTGATACAGCATCACTGCTTCACAGAGGCAGAAAACTGTACTGGTCATATTATGTGTAGCCTAAGTTTCAAGAGTCCAAAAGTGCCTAAGATTTATCTCACCTTCCGAGACAAGTCAGAAGTCTAGTTGAAGAGAGTGATCCAAATATAGAAGCAAGAACTTGACAGTTACAGATAGCCAATGCTGTCCTTGCTCTGTGAAAGACCAGCTTAATTTGGAGTCACTCGGACTAGGAAGTGCTACTCCTATGAATATATCCAGAAGAGAAATGATATGTTGTGGAGCTGGGAGAGAATGTAGACAAGTGATGAGGATCACCTGCTCATCTAACTTAGTTCTTTTGTCTTTCTTGGTCCTTTGTCAGGACAGTAGAGTTTCTAAGATTTATGTGATTAGCTCCCGAAATGGTATGTTATAAAAACATACAAACAACTTCATGACTAATGTGGGAATATATGCCATAGTTATAAACTATGCAACAATATGCTGCACAAATACAGAGAAAATGGCATCTCTATAATTTTGCCTTTTATTAAAACATGACTATGACATTTGATTGAATGAGTGACTTCAAAAACATAACCAACAGCCAGTGGGCCCAATTTAACATATATTAAGAGAAGTGCACACCCTTCATATGGTGTTTCCTCTGACAGGTCAAGTATGAATCCATAGATATATTAGCCTCACTAGGAAAATTTCTGAGTGGAGAATGGTGGGACTAGAACCTGGGTGAAGGTTAGCCTTGCATTAGTAAATATTAGAAGGCCCACTAGAAGACCATGCACTAGTGGGGGACAGTTTGGTTAGTTTACTCTTCAATCAGCATCACCTACACCTAGTCCAAAAATATCCAAGTACACAGAATGATAGAAATTACATTCATGTACTGAAAATATATTGGTGAGAATACTTTCACATAGTACACACACATATACTCAGAGTTATAAATAAAACTTGCAGACTGATATTAACTTCTCCTTCCATCTAATTTTTCATCTTGGTGTTGACATCAAAAGCTTGAAATTCTTTAACAATATTGAGTGTCCCATCCTCACTGAAAGAAGAGATGTGTTTCCACTCTCCTAATATTTCTTATCTGGACTGTATGGCAGCCTATTTCAAAGAATCACATTCCTAGACTGCCAATCAAGACCAATAAACTAAGGAAGCAGCACATCTTATTTAGTTTCAGGGTTTTAAAATGTTGTTGTGTGAATTTTAACAGCTGAAGTACAAAAACTTTTCTCAAAGTCTGTAGTTGATCACACTAAGCCTGCCCACTGATTTTATTTCCCCTTCATAAACCAATGCAACAGACTTTTTGCTGTCCTTCAGTTCTTCTGGAAATTGAATAGCTAATTCTTACAGTAATGAAAATAACTAAGCACCAGACTCTTTAATATGTAACACTACATTTTAATTTTCAAGGTGCTTTAATTAACTTGAATTGAATAGTTATTAAACTGTTGGAAAATTAGAGATAAATATTTTTCTTTATTTTAAACTAGCAAATAAAGTTAATTAAACCTTCAGATGATGAAATAAGGCTTGAGGAGAGTTCCGAAGTTTAGACATTTTTCTAAATCTCAGTAAATGCCCCTTCTTTATTGATTATTTTATCTCAGCTCTACCAGCACAGTTAAATGAATGTCAGCCCTATGTCAAATACAGTGTCAGTCACATATTTCTAAGAACTCTCATAGAAACTCAACTATGCTTGACAATGGTTTGGCATGAAGATTTAGTTTTTATGATTCTAGTTAGTGTAAACAGCAGAAATTACCATTCATTCTGATTACAATGCAAATTTCTAGAATACATTAGCAGATTTTCTATTTCAAGATATCCAGGCCAAGTTTTATGCTTATAGTAATAAACATTTTCCCTAAATAACCTAGTCACAGCCTGGTTAACACAGTGGAGGGATGGAATGTGAGCCCCTTCATTTTACTAGCAAATTGAAGACTGGTCTTTCTCATAAAAACATCGCAGAAAAAGACAGATTTTTAAATGGATAACATTTGGCTAACAGTTGTTTTTCCCTCATTCTTATGCCACAACCTATGTTTCTGCTACTGTAAAAGTCAGAAAACGTGGGAGAAGTGAGAGAAGTTGAAGCAAAATCATTCTCCTTTATGCAAGAGATATCTTATTTCTCCCTCTATTTCCTTCTCTAATAATGGAGTCTGTAGAATTTTTTCTGTGTTATCTAGTTAGATATCAAACTCTTCACAGTAGGGCCTTTTTTAAGAGTTCCTTTTTAAGCATTCAAAAAGTGCTTAACAAAAGCTGTCCACAGTCTTTGTTGTGTCCTTTTCATATGGCTGTGATGAAGAACAATGCCAAGAGAAGAGGAAATATGACTGTGCTGAACTATTCTGACTGTTTCTGGCCACAGTATTTATTACAGAAACTTTGTGCGTACAAATCTCTTATTCGCAGAATCATTCTAGGACAAATATAAAGATTCTGAGTCTCTAGAAATAAAGTTGTAGCATGGCTTATGCTATATGCTTCAAAAACTCCTTTCTCATTACAGAATAGACATATTTTTTCTGACACATTTCACTTGTTAAAAGCGGTTTGCAAACAGTTCCACAGAGCTCTGGACGCCACACTGCTTATAGGACTCCACTACATCTGCTTCAATTAATGAATAGCTTCCTTGGAATGGGACATACGCCAAGACGGTGACACTGACAACCACTATTTAAAGAATGGGAATCATTAGAAGAAACAATAGGACAGCACTTACGAGTAAATAACTCAATTTAAATGTATGGCTGATGAATTTGTTCAACACTGAAAACATTTATGCCTTCATTTATAATCACTTAATTCCAAATCTCTTCTGAAAACAGGCATTACAATGTTTGGAATACTTCCATGCAGTGATTGCTTTAACGTTTATTTTATTGGATCCTATCCAATATAGCAACATTAGGACTGCAGCAAAGTGAAAAGTTCTGCAGAAAGCTTAGATTTCACTTGAGAGAAGGCAAGTACTTATGTATATTAATATGTATTTCTACTTACTCACAAACTGCAGGGAAGGACAAACCCACAAAGGCACTAGACAGATATTCTGTATACATTTCATTTGCAACTCCTTCCAGGTAGTATTTCTGCCATGTATCTTCCTCAATCTAAAACAAAGAAACACACATGTAGAGTTCTGAGTAAAACCAAAAGCTTTCTTTAAAATTTACAAACAACTGCTTAAACATAAATCAGGTTTTAACAAATAAGTCAGTAGACTGTTATGGCAATTAATATTACTTATTTTACAGGATCTTGTGGAATGCCAAAAAAAAAAAAAAGTCCATGTACTCAGTAAATCAAGTACCCTATGTAAAAATAACACACTCAATTATTTGCAAGCACATTCAGCATGAGGTGAAATAAGGTTGTATAGAGATTGAGAAAAAACATTTCTCAATGTGCTCTTTCTGAAAATTCTCTAGTAAAATGGTTGCATTATATTGTGATTTGAGTCTCTCTAACAATGTTTCAACTATTTTCACCTTGTTTAGATGTTGATCAGCAGTCAAAATTAATAATTAAAAATTATATTTTTTTTTTCTTTTCTGCATCTATAACTAACAAGGAAATATGAGAATCATACACTGAAACAGTTTCTTCAACAGTCATCAGTACCTCAGGACAACAACTGAAAAAAACCTTTACTGATAAATTCAGAGATCTTTTACTGTTGAAGGTATGAAGGAAAAGAAGTCAGAGGTGCTACAGGACTACCATCAATGTATTCGCCCAAGCAGAAGTTTCTAGCGGTATCTGTGATGTGCATGCAATCCCATCTAGCTTCCAGCAGCTGCCCTGGGGTCTGTGGATACCATGTCATATCTATAAAGCCTATGTCTCACATATTCTATAACTTCTTTCAATTAGCATCAAGCATCTAAAGTAACTGGATCAAGTTGCTTAGCGTTAATCAGCAGGAATAGCACTATAAATCAGAAGAGCAAATACAACTTCTGTATACCATAATTTGTGCCATCATCCAGTTTGTTTGAGTTTTGACTGTCATTCCCAATAAGACCTTCTTAGGCAAACTAGGGAAACCACCACAGACACAGAGTCTCAAATATCTAAAGCTTCATATCAAACAGTTGTTTCCCTATTTATCACATCACATTAAAACAAAGCAAAAATTTCAACCACAATGGGGCATTCCTGTGTGTAATTATTTCTTTGGCTTTATTCACTAATTGTGCTATATAAATTATGTGAACAGAGAAATTAATATTTGGAAGAATTGTACACAGCACTAAAAATGTTTGTATGATAATACAACATATATTAAATTAGCAAGAAGCATAAATTATATCAGACCAGCAAAAATAATGTGATATATTTCTTTTTTTACATTACCACATTTTCATTAACCAGTCTATATGACGACATAGTAAATAGGAAACAAGTAAAAAGAGAGATTGAGAAATCAGAGATTTTAATTTTCTTAAATAAGGCACATGATCTTACAGATCATGGAAATATTTATCTTACAATTTTGTTCATGTCTAAAAGCTGTATTTTATTCTTTGCTAAAAAATAAACTATTAGTTCCACTATTTAGGTAGCCTCATTATAGTTTTCATCTTACACAGCAGAGAGTGAGACAATATTGAGTTTAGATGTTAAGGCCAAAATACTGACATAATGAGAAAGTAATTTCTTTTTACACTAGTGGCAGAGATTTGCAAAGCTACCTGAAAGGTTGAAGTACCCAACACCTACTGATTTAAGAAGAATTTATATAACTAATATACAACTATATATCTCTTAAACATCTCACAATTTGTCTTTTTCTGATATCCCCAACTTTTCCCAAAGCTCAGTCTACACTGTGTAAAGAGATGATGACACTAATCCTGCAGGAAACAGAGCTGTAGCCAGGCCCAATGAAGTGGCAGAAAGGGTGCTTCAGGAACATCCACCTTCATAAACTACTGCAGGTAAGGTTCGAGCGCTTTAATCTACATTGCTGATCTTTCTTATCCAGTGTCCTAGAGACAGTGTAATAGCAACCAGTTAAGTATGAGCCAGATATTTTTTTTTTTTTGCCATTACATAGAGAACTCCCAATATTTCAGAAATTTTTATCAAAGAATTCAGTCTGATACGATAAACAACTCACTACTGCTTCAACATTTTGTGCAGATACATTACTATCTTGGATAATACCCAGTCAATGACTTTAGTGGTATAAAATGCCTTATGGTAGGAAAACATAGGTCTGTATATTCTTTATGGCAAAAGCATTATGGTACGTTAGGATAAGTGTGGGGTTGGTTACGAACATATAATTCAAAGAGCAACATAAATGTACATCTCTGTCAGTATTCAAGACAATAAATTATTACATGGGATTTAAGTGACTTGAGTAAAGGTGTCTAAGTTAACTTTTTCGGCTATTCAGTAATAAATCAAATCGAGAAAAGCATCTTTAAGCAACAATTTATCTTTGTCTGTTGTGCCAAACTACAGCTGTTTTAAAACATCATTAAAGAAAGAGGTCCTTGCATAACATATAGGGCTTAAAGGAAATCTCACCATGTAAACTCAAAAAAGGATAAAAATTTAAGATGGGAAAAATTAAAGCACATACTCTGATCACCAGACAGTTCAGGTCTGTGACCAACAACATACTCCATGCTTTTATAATATATCCAGCAATTGGCTTTCTGCCTCTTAAATTTACAAATGACCTCATGACTATAAGGATAAAGTTCAATACTTTTCTGCATATTTTTTCTATTTTTCCTTTAAGTGGTTTGTTTATATTAGTTTTACTACTTATTATTCTACTGTATGATTCTAAACAAGGTATAATCAGATGAAAACATTAAGTGTTTAACAAAACTTTTTAAGCTAAGTAATAGATATTTTTTAAATTTTAAACTAAATCTTTAGGAACTTTGAAAATCTTATGTGCTTTAGGAAATAAAATTATATGAGCACAAGCTGTAAAAATAAAATACATTTTAAAAACAAAAGCTGTAACTGTTACAAAGTCCTATTCATTCCCCAAGAGTCTAGAACAGATTTTTGTTGTTCTTTCTTATACATCTTAATTAAACACTTAATATTTTATAGAAGCTTTAAGTTACAGTTCTGTATTCCATATTCTTAATCCAGTTTCAAATCATGAAGCTCATAAAATGCCATAAAACAAGGATTCTACAGAAATGCAGTGATGTTAATCTTCCTACGCCTTTTTTTTGCTCTTTTGGAGTGCTGTCTTCATCCCTGCTTCCCCTACCTGCAGTTAATTTCTCTTCTCTACCATATCATTACCTAACATCACCCACAATACCAACAGAACTGTTTCTCTAGGCTAATGCCCTGTATGTCTGTCATGGTTTGAGCCTAGTCGGTAGCCAAACACCACACAGCTGCTTACTCCTCCCTTCTCTTCCAGCAATGAGAAGGGACAAATGAGCCAGGCTTGGGATTTGAGATAGGACCGGGAGGGGCAGATCACCCATTATGGTCATGGGCAAATAGCAGACTCATTAGGGGAAGAAAAAAAGAACATACATTTATTACAGACACTACCAACATCTCTTAACAGAGTAGGACAGTGAGAAGCATTGCCACATCTTGAGAACACCTTCCCCCCACCCCTCCCTTCTTCCCGGGATCAGCTCTGCTCCTGATATCTCTACCCCCTCCCCTCAGTGGTGCAGGGGCAGGGAACGGGGGGTGCAGTCAGTGCTGCCACTTCCTCCAGCTTCAGTGGGGGGAGCTTCTGGAATTTGTTTCCCCTGCTCCATCATGGTCCCCCCTCTCACAGGAGACAGTCCTCCACAAACTTTTTCCGACGTGAGTCCCTCCCAAGGGCCGCAGTGTTTTCTTACACTGCTCCAGTGTGGGACACCAACTTTCTCCAATGGGAGTCCCTCCCACGGCTGCAGCCCTTCCCGAGCTGCTCCGGCATGGGACTCCCCCGCATGCTGCAATCCTCCCAGCGCTGAATTACAGCAGCGGGGCTACCTTTTCCCACAACACTATGGCCTTCTTTGGGCACAGCACCTTGATCACTAGGTGAAAACACAGGCCATAAATCAGTGTCTGCTCCACCGCAGATCTTCATGGGTGGCAGGGGGGGGCCGCCCTGCCGACTCACCACAGGACACAGGGGTGCCTCTGCTCTGGTACACCTCCCCCCCTCCTTTCTTCCTCCGTTCCTCCATTGACCTTGGTGTTCATGCAGCTGATGCAACTCCTCCTCTAAGTCCAACTGCTCGTCACCACGTCCTTTCTTATATATGTTTTCGCAGAGGCGCAGCTGGTTGGCTCGGCCTTGGTGCAGAGGTGGAGCTGACTTGAAGCTGGGGGAGCTTTGAGAAGCTTCTCACAGGGGGCCACCTCTATAGCCCCCTCCCCTGCCACCAAAAAACTCCACCACTCACTCAAACCCAGGACAATGTCCTACTTCCCTCTGAACTCCTTTATCCAAATGGAAATGTCAGCCTATCTAACTGACACGTACTAGAGGATGTTGAGCCACCGACAGTTCTTTCACTGATAGGGTTTTTTATCTTACTTCCCCATCAGCAGTGTTTCCACCTCCACTTTCAAACTCCTCTTTTAGGCTCATAATGTGGTTATCTTCTTAGCCTGCTTCAACCCAGTCACTTATTCTGTGCTCAAACCATTCAGACCTCTTGTCTTCCCACTGATCAAGATAATCTGTGAAAAAATGTCTAAATCACGTTAGAAAAAATTTCACCTTTAAAAGCTGTAAGAAGCATCAAGACCAATTCCACGTTGAACTAGCATTTTATGGACAGCCAGTACCAAAGAAGTGAGAGATGCATTACTGTCACACATACTAAACTCAGTGAGCAAAACCAGGATTATATTATTTATTACCAGGAAATAAATCAACTGCCACATTAAAAGACTTCAGAAAGGGAATTACAGCTGAGCCTCTATGGTTACAGAAGCACATGTCAGGACTGCAGTATCCTAGCAGCATATATAAGAGCTACAGCTCTGCTAACTGTCTAACTTAAAGGATCATTTTCATACCATGTCAATGCATGGCATGTATTAAAATGCTATAACAATAATAGTAATTATGCTGAACTTTTCAAACTCTTCTACAACTTAAAAGCAC